CCCTGGGATCATGACCTGAGCCAAAGGCAGACGCTTAATAACTGAGCCACCCAGGCGCCCCGATGAACATCTTTTTATGTCTTTGTTTGCCATCTCTATTTTATCTTCTTCAGTGAATGTCTGCATGTCTTTTGCTCGTTTTCTAACTGAATTTGTTTTTCTACTATTGAGTTTTTCCTTTATGGATCTTGCTCTTGGTGTCATGTCTAAGAACTCTTTTTCTAGCTCTGTATCCTGAAGATTTTCTCCTATATATTTTTCTTAAAGTTTCATAGTTTTACATTTAAGGTTGTCATTCATGTTGAGTTTGTGTTTGTATAAGGTGTGAGATTAGGTCTTGTACTTTTTTTGCAGGGGCAGGGGTTATTGATGTCGTTTTACTTTAGCAACATTTGTTGAGAAAGCTTCCCTCCACCCCACTGAATTACTTTTTGTAATTCAGAGAGAGGGCCAGAGAGAGGGTGCACAAGCAGGGAGAGTGGCAGGCAGAGGGAGAAGCAAATGCCCTGCTGAGCAAGGAGCCTGATGCAGAACTCAATCCCAGGACCCTGGGCTCATGACCTGAGCTGAAGGTACGCTTAACTGACTGAGCCACCCAGGCGCCCCTTGGGTTCTCTTTTCCATTGATACACATGTCTGTTTCTTTGCTGATACCATGCAATCTTGACTACTCTAGTTATATAATAAGTTTCCCCCATTTTATTTTAACTTTAAAACGTTTTAGCTATTCTAGTTATTTTGCCTTTCCATCTAAGTTATAGAATAGTAGTGTCTATATATACAAAAAACTTTTGCTGGGACTTTGATAAGAATTATGTAAACCTATGTATCAATTTGGGAAAAAATAGCATCCTTATGAGTCTTCCATTTCAAAAACACTTTTATTTAGATCTTTAATTTCTTTCATCTGCATTGGATAGTTTTCAACATACAGTCTCCTTCATGTTTTGTTAGGTTTGCAACTCTTTCATTTTTTTTTTTTTTTAAAGATTTTATTCATTTATCTGACAGAGAGAACACAAACAGAGGGAGAAGCAGGCTCCCCACAGAGCAGGGAGCAAATAAATTCAGCTTTTAGTTTTGGATATTGAATAGCATTATCTTTTCTTTCTTTCTTTTCTTTTCTTTCATTTGTCAGAGAGAGAGCCGCACGCACAGGCAGAGGGAGAAGAAGGTGAACAGAGAGCCTGATGTGGGACTTGATCCCAGGATCCTGGGATCATGACCTGAGCCAAAGGCAGATGCTTAACTGACTGAGCCACCCAGGCGCCCCTGCACCTCTTTCATTTTTTTTCCTTTTTTATTTTAGTAATTATAAATGGTACTGCATTTTTAATTTTGGTGTCCATGTGTTCATTGATAGTATATAGAAATACAATTTATTTTAGCATGTTCATCTTGTGTCTTGCAACCTTGCTGAATTCACTAGTTAGTACTAGGAGGGTTTTGGGGGGGGTTGTTTTTTTGGGGGGGGTTTGTAGCTTTTAGAATCTTCTCTGTAATCAGTCATGTCATCTGCAAATAAGGAGAGTTTTATTTCTTCTTTTCTGATCTGTATGCCATTTATATCCTTTTCTTGCCTTGCTGAATTGGCTAAAACTTGCAGCACTTTGTTGAGTGAGAATAGTGAGAGCAGGTATCTGCCTTGTTCTTGATTGTAGGAGGAAGGCATCTGTCTTTTACCATTAAGTATGTTGTTAGCTGTAGGTTTTTGTAGATCCTATTTATCAGGTTGAGGAAGTTCCCTTCTATTTCTGTTTTTCTGAGAACTTTTATCATGGGGGTTAAATTTTGTCAGATGCTTTTTCTGCATTGAGTAATATGCTCATATGATTTTTCTTAGCTTGTTAATGTGGTGAATTATACTGATTAATTTTATATATTGAACCAGCTTTGCATCCCTGGAAAAAACCCTACTTGGTCATGGAGTATTAGTTCTTTTTATATACTGCTGAATTCTATTTGCTAGTATTTTGTTAAGGATTTTTGCATCTGTTTTAATGAGGGATATTGATTGGTAGTTTCCTCTTTTTATACTGTTGTGTAGTTTTGACATAAGTTAATATCAATTTCAAAGATAAATTGGGCAGTATTTCCCCTCTGCTATTTTCTAGAAGGGATTATGTAGAATTGGTGTAAATTCTTTAAATAATTGGTAGAATTCTTGAGAAGCCATCTAGACCTGGAGATTTCTTTTGGGGGGAAAACTTGGAGTTTTCAAGTTATGAATTTAATTTCCTGCATAGTGACAGGGCTATTCAAATTATCTATTTCATATTGAGTGTGTTTTGGTACTTTGTGTTTTTTGAAGAATTGGTCCATTTCTTCTAAGTTGTTGAATTCGTGTGTGTGGATTGTTTGTAGCATTCCCTTATTATCCTTATGATTGGAGGAGACAGCTTTGACTAACCCAAATACAGCTTAGAAACTAGGGTCAGTCCCCACAAGTTGCATGGCTAATACAATAATAGTAAGGTGACAACTGGAAGGATCATTGGGATGTTGATAGGAAACTAGAAAATTCTGGGTATACAACCTTCAGTGTCATATCAACTCTAATTTTCTATAGAATGTCATTTGCTGGTTTTATGTGATTACTCTTTTAGGTAAATTTTAAAGTCAGTTTTGTCAAGTTTCAAAATAAATTCCTTTGGGGCCTAGGATTAAATTTATAGATTAATTATAAGGGTGTGTGTGTGCAGGTTCCCACAGGGAAGGAATCAGAGTCAGTGTTCAAGTATGCCTGGAAAAAAACCCTCTCTGCTTTCTGTTGCCTCAGAAAGTCATCATTCATTGTTGTAAATTTTTTGCATCATGTGCTAGTAATAATTAAGACTTGATTATAACTTTTTATTTGCAAGTAATTTCAAACAGAAAAAAATGCAAGAATACAAATTGATTTTTCTGGTTTCTCTGTTCATTTTTTTTGAATACCACATCATCCTCTTATTTTAGCATTAGTTAATTTCACTGCTGTACGTACTTGAGCCATTCTTACAGAAGAATGTGTGGTAGGTTTTGAGGCCTTGCAGTGCCACCCAAAAAGCATCTACCTTATAAACACAAAGTATCTACACTTTAATACTAGTGGATGTTGAATTGTAGATTAAAATGCATTTCTTTGAGAATATTGAACAACTTGCTTCCTTGTTGAGAAAAGAGAATGCTGGGACACCTGGGTGGCTCAGTTGGTTAAGCTTCTGCCTTCAGCTCAGGTCATGATCCCAGGATCCTGGGATTGAGTCCTGTATCAGGCTCTCTGTTCAGGGGGAGCCGCCTTCTCCCTCTGCCCGCCGCTCCCCCTGCTTGTGCATGTGTGCTCTCTCTCTCTCTGACAAATTAAATAAAATCTTAAAAAGAAAGAAAGAAAAGAGAATGCAATTCAAGATCCAAAACTATTTGATTTGCTTGCTAAGCCAGGGTAGCTGTTTATGTAAAATAATCTCTGAAGAAAGCAGGGAGCTCATCTTAATAAATTCAAGAGTGAGTTAGGCTTGTAATTTTCCTTTCTTTCTTCTGAAAGAGTTTGTATAAATTGGAACTACTTGTTCTTTGAATTTTTTTTTTAAAAGATTTTATTTATTTATTTATTTGAGAGAGAGAGAGAGAGAGAGAGAGAGAGAAACAGCATGAGAGGGGATAGGGTCAGAGGGAGAAGCAGGCTCCCCGCCAAGCCGGGAGCCCGATGTGGGACTCGATCCCAGGACCCTGGGATCATGACCTGAGCTGAAGGCAGTCGCTTAACCAACTGAGCCACCCAGGTGCCCTTGTTCTTTGAATTTTAATAGAACTTGCGTGTAAACCGAGTGGTCCTGATGTTCATTATGGGAAGATTTCTTAATGACTGATTAAATGTTACTACTTTTTTAATTTTTATTTTTCTATGAATTTGTATATTTTAGTTTCAGATTTATTGATAAAGTTATTTTTAATATTGCCAGGTGATTTGAATGTCTGCAGCATCTCTAATTATGGCTCCCTTTTTATTACTAGTATTTGGGTGTGTTTTTTCCTTTTCTCATTTATAAGTCTTGCCAGAACTATGTCCATTTTGTTAGTCATGACAAAGAATTACCTTTTTGTTCTGTTGAGCCTTTCTTCTATATCGTTTTGTTTCATGAAATTCTACTTTTATTTGTATTATTTCATTTTTTCTACTTTATATTATTCTATGTTTCTAACTGCTTAAGACATTCAGTTCATTAATTTATTTCAGGATTTTCTTTTCTGATGTAACTATTTACAACTAGAATCTCTTTCTATATATTCCTTTTGCTGCATCTGACAAGTTTGATTATATAAAGTCTTTTTGTTATTTTAGTCCTCTAAGTATTTTCACAATGCTATTATAATTTCTTCTTTGACACATGAAGTTTTAGAAGTTCCCAAACAGGAGGTTTTTAACAAGCTCTTTTTATAATGATTGTCAGAGAATATGGTTGTGGGATACCAAGTACATGAAAGTTACTGAGACTTTATCACCTCACATTGGTAATTTTTATATATGTTCCATTTGTATTCTGTTTAGAAGTAATATTGGTGTCTATTTATTAGATCAGACTCAATGGTTTTGATGTCAGTTCTTATCTAGTCTTACTAATTTTTTTGTATCCTTATTACTGAGATAAGGTTAAAAATTGTCCTCTGTGATAATGGATTTGTCACATTTTTTTTGTGGTTCTGTCAGTCTATTTTGGAACTATGTTAATAGGTACATATAAGTTTGGCTGTTATGTATATTTAATAAAACCTTCAATTGTGTAGTGAACTTCTCTATTACTGGTAATGGTTTGCCTAAATGGTTTGCTCTTTTTGTGTATTATTAATATAGCTACAGCAGTTTTGTCTTTATTAGTATTAGTATTGCCTGTTTTTGTTTGTTTTTTTTCATATTTTTTCCTTTCAACCTTTCAGTTCTCTTAGGTTTTTACGTGTATCTTTTTTGAAAAGCATTTAGACCACTCCTAGACCTTATAAAAATGTTTTATATGTGGTTACAGTGTAGCTGAAGCTGCTGAAAGATGGCAGAAGAAGTGGTGGTAGTAGCCAAATTTGATTATGTGGCCCAACAAGAACAAGAGCTGGACATCAAGAAGAATGAGAGATTATGGCTTCTGGATGACTCTAAGTCCTGGTGGCGAGTTCGAAACTCCATGAATAAAACGGGTTTTGTGCCTTCTAACTATGTGGAGAGGAAAAACAGTGCTCGGAAAGCATCTATTGTAAAAAATCTAAAGGATACCTTAGGTAAGTTATTTTTGTATTAAAACACCAATAATACTTTCTTTTAAATGGATGCTAGAGCTTGGTTCTTTGTATAGAATTTTGGCAGCATTGGGCAGAATTGACTAGAAAAGGCCAAGACTAGAATTTCAGCTAGGCCAGGTAGGTTTGCTCATAGCAGGGATTCAGCCAAGTCAGAAGAGCAGTAAAGGCCATAAGTGTTAGTGGGCAGTTTCTATAAATCTAGCTGGTGTTCAAGGGCCAGACCAGGGTGGTGCCCATGAGCGGACTGAATCTGATCCTCTAGCCGGGACCCCTTGAACTGTGAGTGCCTGTTGGGGTTTAGGTAAATTCTGCATCTAATTGAGACAGGGATAAATGAGGGAGATTCAGAATTGCCTCCTTGGCATTAAGGCAGTTTTTTTTTTAACATGGCACATTGCTGTATTTTAACCTTTAATAGCTTACATTTTGAATTTTGCTTTTAAAAACAAACCATCATTTTGTTTTTGCATTTGATAAGAGAGTTTTAAATTGTGCATTATTACTGTAGATTACCATCTACAAAGCTGATTTCTTATTTTGTTTTTCTTTTTTCCCCCTTTTTCTTCCTCTAACTGTGTAAAGTTTGTTTGTTTTTACTAGCTCTCCATTAGGGCCAGAGATAATGGAACCTGCTTCACAGTGGGCTTGGCTGAGCTGATAGGAAGGAAATATGCACAGATGAGGACTGGCCTCTTTCTTTTTTCTTTTAATTAAACTCCTACTTGGCTGACAGGAAGGAATGGGAGGGACAGAATTTCATTTTTGGTATTCAGGCAAACATGCTGTTACTTAATGGTTCTTTGTATATATGTGGATGAGAAAGTAAAATTTCTCTTTGCAGAAATAGTTTGGGAGTAATGTGGCATGACTGACAAATATGAAATACTATTGACCAACTGCTTTATATTAGCTTTATTTTTTATTCAGCATTATTGTTATTCTAGAGTGTTCTTTCAGATACCAGCAATAGATGACCAGTCTTTTATTTTTAACACTGTAAAATAGCCAAAACCAAAATATAGTACGACTCAAATATAAAATATTTTAATATTGGTTTGTGAGTGAATAACATTTCTAGTATTCTAAAGGTAGTTTAATAAAGGGAGTTATTAATCTGATTTTCACCATGACTTTTAACTGCTGTATTTGAGGTTACCTTTTATTAAGATTTTAATAATTAGCAAATAAGACCATTATTATTAGTTTTTAAGTGAAGGACAAATCAGAAAGAGATTATCCTTGACAAGCTGAAGAGACCATAGTTAGAGCCAGGAACTTCTGATTTTGTAAATATTGGACACTTATTTAAAGCATGTAGATCAGAGATATTAGGGAAAATTAAGGTAACTTCTATGAAGGAAGTATGCCTCATAGTGATGAAGGCACAAAAAGGATTAGGGCTACACTTAGGTAGACTTTTTTGTTCCTTTTTAAAAGGATACTAGTTTCCTGGGACTAGAGCAAATGTTTAAACAGAAGATCATGAAAAACGTAATATCATAGAGCAAAATGGAAATATATCCCAGTTTTAGATATTACTGCATATAAACTTAAAAAGCCCAACTGGATAGAATTTTTATTATTTGTTAATACGCCTGGGAAACCTTCCATACTATTTTCTGATATTATTGAGACGATTTTGGAAAGACTATATCCATTTAAGTCCTAGAATATCTCTGTTAACTTTATTACTGTATTATAGTTATTGCTGCCTATATTGCAGGATACTTGAAAACATTGTTTTAAGTTAATGATCTTTAGTTCTCCTATATAATGATGTAATTCCAGCTTTTGTATCAGATAGCCTTCTTTTTCTCAGAATTTCTGAACCCCTTTTTGATAACTTAAATGTCCTATGTGGTTAATGGATTTGTTTTACAATGATTGTGCTGGTGGAGACATTGTTTGAAAAATAAGAAAGAAAAGGAGAAAACAAAGGAGAGAGTGAATGTATGAATATATTTTCAACTATTGAAAATATATGCTTTAAAACGTCTTCCAAAATAAGTTTGAATAATAAAGGTCACATTTGTGGCCATGATGATATACTTGTTTTACAGGTTCTGTTAAAGTTCAGTGGGGGGAAAGTTTTAGAAAGAGAGAAGCCTCAGAAAAACTTTCTATTGCCTGGGTGTAGGCCAAGTCACATGGATTGGGTGTGGGGAGTTTCAGTGTTGCAGAACAGACCAGGAAGCTCACTGAGAATTATCCTGAGCTGTGTTAACAAACTGACAAAAGGAACACGGGCTTTTTATTCAAAATGGATTGGTTAAACGTCTTTAAAGATTTTTTCAGTAAGTTCATCTGTTTATTAAATCCATAGTTTTCTTGTAGTTTTTGAATTCGATTTTTTACTTTAAAGAATTTAAAGAAAAACTGTATGGAACCTGGTATGTTTATATAATAGACTGGTGCTTTATACTGTTTATGAAACATAAGCTAAATGATTGGTGATACTTCAAATAATATTAGTTTTGACTTGATAAGTAATATGGTTTTAAAATGTTTTAGTATCAGTGTTTAAAAATAAAGAGAAAAAGGATATAAATGAGTTTGCAGTTTTAATTTGGTAACTTTGAACTTAGCATAGACGTTTGAAGTGAATTAAATTATAACATTAAAAATATGAGGAAAGAAAGTATTACGTGAGCAAGTTCCTTCATCCTCAGTATTTGAATTAACATTGTTTTAGTACTTTTTACTTAGATTTTAGAGGAACAATATAGAAGATAAAGCAGTAAAGAGAATGTTTTGATTTAATGTAGGATTGCTAGAAATGGCTCTTTTGGTAATTGTGAGATTTGATATTTTGAAATGAGTCTTGAGAGCAGCTGCATACAAAGAAAATGAAAACACTGAAAGAAACTAGTGAATTATTGGGATTGTTTTGAGTCCAGGTCATAATGTAATACTGATACTAACTTACCAGAGCCTAATGTGTATATTTGCTAATGGCCTTTTTATGATCTTATGATAGTGAACTTGATTTGATCTCTTTGAACATTTGTTTGGTGTTTCTAGAAAAATGAACAGAGGAGTTGTTGTAGAAGTCTCATGCATAAGGAATCTAAGGAAACAAAGAGTAACCTGTTGAGATTTCATTTTCAGTCAGAATGGAAAAGGAGCAAGTACTTTGTTGAGAAAGAATATGTAATTGTAATATTAAGATTCATTTGTTTCTTTAGTTAACTTTGGTGGCCAAGTGAATCCTGGAATATCTCTCTTTTGTTTACTTTTTGGAAAGTTAATACATTTTTATTTATTTATTTTTATTTATTTTTATTTTTTTTAAATTTTTTTAAAGATTTTATTTATTACTTGAGAGAGAGAGAATGAGAGAGAGAGCACATGAGAGGGGGGAGGGTCAGAGGGAGAAGCAGGCTCCCTGCCGAGCAGGGAGCCCGATGCGGGACTCGATCCTGGAACTCCAGGATCATGACCTGAGCCGAAGGCAGTTGCTTAACCAATTGAGCCACCCAGGTGCCCAAGTTAATACATTTTTAGATCCACTTTTTGGGTTAGTTTTCCTTTTGGAAAGTTATTAATTTATTCATTTGTTTTATCAACATATTTTTCTTGAGAGCCTACTGCAAGCCAGACAAAAATCATAGAATGAAAAACTAAGACTAACTTGCATAGAATTTACATGGTGAGGAGGTAGATGGAGGTTGTTATTTAATATTAATACAGTGGATTTCATATCTTGGTTTGGTCATAAGTGATGGTCACTTGGTGGTCATAAGTGACCATAAATCAACCAGAAATGGTGTAAAAAGAATCATTGATACAGTGATTCATTATATACCATCAATACAGTGATAAAATTATCATTCTCTCTGTTGTCTCAGAAAGTCGATAATCTTACATACATTTGTAGACCTGAGGGTCAGGGTTTGAGATTTGCAACCAAGATACTCCTTTTTTCATTACCTGCAGCAACCCAAAATTTGTATTTATTTTGCTTTGCAGTAGAAGATACAGTAAATGTGCTCCTTGTGTGGTGGCTAGAGTAAACAAAGAGGTACAGTATTTTAGATAAAACAGAATAATAATAATAATTTATCTTATTTCATGTAGATGAAATGAACAGATAAAAATACAAAAATTTAAATAAAAACTCGTAATGGAAAGAACACCATATATTTGTATTTAGAATTCCCTAGTTTTGCTCCCAGATGTACCACTTATTTAACCATGTGGCAAGGGGTATATAACTAAACTTTCCTGATTTCTTATTATTTGTGAAGGAGAGTTGGGCAAGACTAGATGATCATGGAATGTCCCTTCTAACTCTAAAAGTCTTACAGTCCTGGTAAAAAAAAACTGATAAGTCTTAACATGTGATAGAAATCAAGGGAAAATCCATGAGGGAGAAGCTGGTTTTGAAGAAGTAGGAATGTAAAAACCAGAACTACAGTTCCTTAAAGAATTAGAATCAGTAATACTTTCTTTGGCCTCATTCTGTTGAACATTTATTTAGTCAGTGATTTAGATGGAGGGAAGATGACATGCTTAAAGAAAAGAAGACTGAGGCCAAAAGAATAACTAATAAATTTAGTTCAGATATATATTTGAAAAGTAAAAACTGAGGGGCGCCTGGGTGGCTCAGTCGGTTAAGCAGCTGCCTTCGGCTCAGGTCATGATCCCAGGGTCCTGGGATCGAGTCCCGCATCGGGCTCCCTGCTCGGCAGGAAGCCTGCTTCTCCCTCTCCCATTCCCCCTGCTTGTGTTCCCTCTCTCACTGTGTCTCTGTCAAATAAATAAATAAAATCTTAAAAAAAAAAGAAAGGTAGAAACTGAGATAGAAATAAATAAGGTGAATAGGGACAGACATTATAATGTAAAATTCTACATTAAGGTTTTTTTTTTTTTTTTAAAGATTTTATTTATTTATTTGACAGAGACACAGCAAGAGAGGGAACACATGCAGGGGGAGTGAGAGAGGGAGAAGCAGGCTTCCCACAGAGCAGGGAGCCTGT